AGTTAATACTGCAAAACAAAAGGCTCAGGCCAGGCGAGGTGGCTCATGCCTGTAATTCCAGCACTTTGGGAGGCTAAGGTGGGTGGATCACCTGAGGTTGGCAGCTCAAGACCAGCCTGATCAACATGGGGAAACCCCATCTCTACTAAAAATTCAAAATTAGCCGGGTGTGGTAGCACAAGCCTGTAATCCCAGCTACTCGGGAGGCTGAGGCAGGAGAATGGCTTGAACCTGGATGGTGGAGGTTGCAGTGAGCCGAGATCACGCCATTGCATCCCAGCCTGGGTTACAAGAGTGAAACTCCATCTCAAAAAAAAAAAAAAAAAAAGGCTGAAAGAACATGAAAGGGCCTGTCCAAAGTTGGGAGCAACTCATACAAACATTCTGAGTTTGCCGAGTTTGGTACATATCAGTGGGAAAGGGCATCATGACTTTCTAGTCCATACTGGGATCATTACAATGTTCTGAGATAGAAACAAACCACAGTGCTTATCACAGCAAATCTAATAAGAAGATGGCCTTATTTTACATTTTTGTAAATCTTTTTAATGTCTGGGTTAAGGAAAAGAGCTGTATTCTCCTATCTGCTTCTGCCTTCATTCAGTTGCACATTATGTAGCCTTCGGAAAACTTAATTGCACATTCATAAGAGAATGAGGGTGGAAATTCGAGCATTGTTATGAAAATTGTTTTATCAGTCCCTGAAAGGGTTTTGGGGGGCCCCTAGACCACTCTTTAAGACATTGTTTTAAAAAATATGTATACTAAGGGCCACGACTTTGATCAATATTCAGAAGAGATTCTCAGGTAAGAGAAAGGCATAAAAAAGATAGAGAGAAAGAGAGAAAAACTCACTGACTACATGCAACCACATTTATAGGAAGGCCAAGACATTTTGTTAGCGTACTTGTTGTTACTTTAACTGTCACTTACTCTGTACTTCACCATATTTTAACATGAAACGAATTGATATTTGAAGAGAAGAAAAGCCAGACCCCAGAATAAAAACCACATACTACAATTCCTCCTAGTTCCTATATAAATGTCAATTGTTAATGCGCATTTACTCTTTAGGCCATCACATTCTAAATATAAGACCCATAAGTCACTTTTCTCCTGGCTTTTCTTCTCTTGTACAACTTTCTGATGACTGTCACTCAAATATTATTTCGCAGGATGAAAGAGCAATTTCCAATTATCAATCAGTTCCAAACTGCTGCATAGCTCAATCTTTCTGTCTGCATGTTTCTATGAATAGCAGCTAAATGGCAATGGACAAATCAACTCTAATCCTTTCTAAACATACATTGTTCTTTAGCTAGTTAGGTGATTTCTGTCTACTATAAATGATTCATCATGAAGCAAAATAGCTGTATTCATTTAAGCATAGTCAAGAAAAATAATTATTTATGAATAATCATCTCATGTCATCATTTTTCCCATACTTAAGAAGATACATGATTTCAAATTTTCCTTAAGACAGGCAAACAAAAACAAATAGTTACAGTGACTTTTTCAGGAGATACTTGTTTTTTATGTCTTATTTAAATTCTCATTACCCTAGTACACCTTCTAAGAGTCATTAACTAGGCCAGCACTCCCCTGGTCAATAGCATAGGCCTAGGTTTAAATCCTGAAGCTGCCACTTGCAATGTGACTTTGGGGAAATTACTTAATCCGGCACCTCACTTTTCTCAGCTTAAACATGAAGACAATAACAGTATCTGCCCCTAAGTGAATGACAGGATTAAATGAGATAATGAAAAATGAGCAAAGCATTTAAAACATTGCCTGACATACAATACATACTAGTAAATGTTAACTTCTGTTTTAATTAATTTATTTATTTAAATTTTTTTTGAGATGCAGTCTCGCTCTGTTGCCCAGGCTGGAGTGCAGTGGCACAGTTTCGGCTCACTGCACCGTCTGCCTCCAGAGTTCAAGTGATTCTCCTGCCTAGCCTCATGAGTAGCTGGGATTACAGGCACACGCCGCCACACCCAGCTAATTTTTATATTTTTAGTAGAGATGGGGTTTCACCATGTTGGTCAGGCTGGTCCCGAACTCCTGACCCTCATGATCCACCGGCCTCAGACTCTGGAAGTGCTGGGATTACAGGCATGAGCCACCACACCCGGCCTGTTTCTATTCTTATTCTTTTCTTTTTAAAAAATTTTTAACACTGAGATAACAGGAAACAATAAAAATAGATGACTAAGTGTCCTTCCTTTTTAAAGTAGTTGTTTATACCGCCTAAGAAAGTGCTGACAAGCCATAAAAACAGTATCAAAGATACATTCAAAACTACTATGTTTCTAGCCCAGGTACAGTGGTGAACGCCTATACACGAGGCTCCAGCAGGTGGATCATTTGAGTCCAGGAGTTAAAGACCAGCCTAGGTAATACAGCAAGACTCTGTCTCTTTAAATTAAATAAAAAATAAAACAACTACTATAATCCTGTGTGCAAAAAGAAAAAAAAAAAACCTTAAGCTGGGTACAGTGGCTCATGCCTGTAATCCCAGCACTTTGGGAGGCTGAGGCAGATGGATCACTTGACGCCAGGAGTTCAAGACCAGCCTGGCCAACATAGCAAGATCCCGTCTCTACTAAAAATACAAAAACTAGCTGGGCATGGTGGCACACACCTGTAATCCCAGCTAGCTGGGAGGCTGAGGCACAAGAATTGCTTAAACTTGGGAGGTGGAAGTTGCAGCGAGCCAAGACTGCACCACTGCCCTCCAGTCTGGGCAAAAGAGCAAGACTCTGTCTCAGAAAAAGAAAAGAAAGACAAGATAGGAGATAATAGAAGAGAAAAAGAAAAGAAACTCAGAAAAGCATGCCCTCCAAAATAGACTGACAGAGTCACAACACAGCATTTGACATAGCTATCTAGAAACAAGAGAACTGTGTAACCTGCTTTGACAAGATACTTTTACAGGCAAGATGAACCTATGTTAGGCTGAAGATGGTTGTTTATTCATATATAACTATAAGCATCATATACACTGTAAGATACACAGTAAAAGGTAAAGGTATAGAACTTCATTCTCACACATAGTCTAGCAGCACAGAGATGAAGCCAAAAAGAAAACTTTTCATGAAAAAAATTAAAAACCTTTTGCCACCATGGTTAACCTTATCTGAGATGGTTTTACTCTTGGAATGTATCAGAGAAAAATTCATGTGGTTGGTACCTAAAATTCATGTGACTGGTCCATAAAAATGCTAACCGGGATATATATGAGAATTATAGCTAACATTTACTGAACACTTGCTTGGTTCCAGACATTATTTCAAGTTTTTTTAATATGGATTAACTAATCAATTGATATGAGATAGCATTTTATTGTCCTCACCTTATATCCAAGGAATTGAGGCACAGAGATAACATGCACAAATGCCAAGTTAATAGTGACTGGTTACAAACAGCGTGGCTCCAAATCCATGTTTTTAACCTCCAGGCAAAGAAGGTGGCACAAATGCATGCCATATACTTAATAGACTCCAGGAGAAGGGTAAGATTCAGGTAACGGATTCCAGTTATCTGTTATAAATTATTGAGATGAGTATATAAACTTGTATAATTTAAAAAAACTCTTATATCTCATAAACTTAGTCAAATCTTTTATTGGGCTTTCTGTAGAATTCTTTTTTTTTTTTTTTGAGACAGAGTCTCACTCTTGTCGCCCAGGCCGGAGTGTAGTGGCACAATCTCGGCTCACAGCAACCTCTGCCTCCTGGGTTCAAGCAATTATCCTGCCTCAGCCTCCTGAGTAGCTGAGATTATAGGCATATGCCACCACGCCTGTGAAATTTTGTATTTTTAGTAGAGACGGGGTTTCTCCATGTTGGTCAGGCTAGTCTCAAACTCCTGATCTCAGGTGATCCACTCGCCTCAGCCTTCAAAAGTGTTGAAATTACAGGCATGGGCCACACATACCCGGCCAGAATTCTATTTTTTTGAAAGAGGGTCTTGCTCTGTTCCCCAGGCTGAAGTGCAGTGGAATAATCACAGCTCATTGCAGCCTCAATCTTCTGGCTCAAGTGATCCTCTCACTTTAGCCTCCCAAGTAGCTAGCCACCACACCTGGATAATTTTGTTTTGTTTCATTTTTGTTTTTTGTTTTTTGTTTTTTTTTTTGTAGAGATGGGTTCTTGCTATGTTGCCCAGGCTGGTCTAGAATTCCTGGTCTCAGCTCACGCCTGTAATCTCAGCCCTTTGGTAGGCAGACCCCAGCACAAGGCAGGCAGATCACTTGAGGTCAGGAGTTTGAGACCAGCCTGGCAAACATGGTGAAACCCAGTCTCTACAAAAATACAAAAATTGGCCAGGTGTGGTGGCGGGTACCTATAAGACCCAACTAGCTAGGTGGCTGAGGCAAGAGAATTGCTGCCACCCGGGAGGCAGAGGTTGCAGTGAGCCAAGATCACGACACTGCACTCCAGCCCGGGTAACAGAGCAAGACACTGTCTCGAAAATAAATAAATAAATAAATAAATTAATTAATTCCTGGCCTCAAGCCATCCTCCCACCTCAGCCTCCCAAAGTGGAATTCAATTTGATTACCACCAGACACACCTTTGTACTTGCTCAAATGAACAAGATCCCCATGGTGAGACAAACGTCACAGCAACTCACAGTATTTGGAGAAAAAGAAGGGGTAGATAACTACTTTTGACAGATTATGACAGCTATGATCTCTATTTTACCACCAATAAGTTTTAAGACTTATACTAGACTTGTTTTAATATGGTTGCTGGTCTCTAGGTACCATTTTAACTTAAAATATGGCTGTGTCCCCTCTTAGCTTAAGTTAATTCATGGTACTAAAAAATTCACAAGGTTAAGATGAAAGCAAGCAGTAAAAGTTCGGAACAGGGTAAGACAAACAGTGACTAACCAATTATCCTCATAGTAGGCCAACCTCAGTCACACATAATACTAGTTCTATACATAGCTTTCATTAATAATGTTTTATTACAGTTTTTATTTCTTACCCATTAAACAAGTTTTTTCCATCTTCTTCCATATTATTCCACAGTCATTGGTTAGGTTTCCTCTATTACCTACAAGTGGGAAACAATCTGTAAGGCTGAGCTAATACATAGCAAGAAAAAAGCAACTTCATGAATTATAATTACAAATTCAAAAAAGGAGTATATTACAATGCATTAAACTCCCTACAAGTCCTTAAAACTAACGTAAGAGTGAAAACAAAATGGCCAGGAACAGTGGCTCATGCCTGTAATCCCAGCACCAAAGGAGGCCAAGGTGGATGGATCACCTCAGGTCAAGAGTTCAATGACCAGTCTGGCCAACATGATGAAACCCCATCTCTACTAAAAATGCAAAAAAATTAGCCAGATATGGTGGCAGTCCCCTGCAATCCCAGCTACTCAGGAGGCTGAGGCAGGAGAATCACTTGAACCTGAGAGGCAGAGGTTGCAGTGAGCCAAGATCGCGCCACTACACTTCAGCCCAAGCAACAAGAGGAAAACTCCATCTCAAAAAAAAAAAAAAAAAAAAAAAAAAGCGAAAAAAACCGTGATCTTTTTCTTTAGCTAAGAGTGACCAAAGAGTCAGTCACTTACGGGTAGACTGATCTATAAATGGAAGTATTAAAGGTTGACTTCCTGAAAAAATGCACTTCTGCATTTGTTTTAGGTCTTAAAAATTACAAACTATATTTGCAGACAATCTGAAACTGTCAGAAAAAAACACACAAATTCATGGTAACAAAAATACTCGAGTATCAAAAGCTAAAACTATTTTTGTGTAAGTGAAATATACAATAACACAAGATGACATGAAGTGACTCTTTTGTGTCAAGTGGGTTTATGATCTGTATGTAAGCGGCATGCTTCTTTAAAAGCAGTGTATATTCTGTACACAAGGACATTATATTAGCCAAAGACATCTAGAGTTTATGATTTGGACAAATTACATGTATAAGCATGTTTAAGGTTTCTGACACTTTATTAGGAAGCAGGACTCAATAAAGCTTGAGATCGGCAAGCTGGGCCACCATTGTTAAGAGGAAAGAAAATTCCCTATTGTGTCATCCTAACAGCTAACACAAGAATTCCTCTTGGAAGAAACTTTCTTTAAGAAAATATGTTCCCATAATATGGGCCCCCATCACTCACGTCCAGTCCCCTTGTAGTGAGTGGTTTGCTGCAGAATGGCTGTCAAGATCCTAGAATGGTTGTCAAGAAAGGGAAATTGGTCTGCATTAGACAGGGAAGAATTTGGTTTTATATCGCTGAAAGGAATGGGGAGAAGAATGAGGAGGAGAGGGAAAGAAAAAGAAAAGAGTAAGTATAATGGGGCAAAGCTGGGATTAGGTGGAGGTGAAGCTCTTGGGTCAAGGGAGGTCTGAAAGATTTTAAGAACAGGAATGTTTTACTAGGGAAGTTGTTTGCATTCATGCAAAGAAAGGATCACTCCAACTCTATTTTGCCTCCTTTCTTCAGGTAGGTACACAAAATCTGCAAATGCCCTGTGTGAATAGGGCCTTTCTGAAAATCAAAGAGGGAGCCAAGTTTCACATGTGGGTGCACTATGGTGCAAATCAGTGGTATGAGACAAGAAAGTAAGTCCCAGGAGGCAGAAAAGGTTACAAGATCATGAAACCCAGCAAATATACAAATATTTTCAGGGAGAGCTTACAACTTCTAGTTCTAGGTTGGGGGTTCTGAGGCAACCGTATCCATTAAAAGCTAAGCTGACACTTCACATCCATAAAATGTCCCTCTTTCCTATCCAAATGACCCTACTTTCAATATAAGAACACCAAAACATTTAAAGTTAACTTAATTACATTTAAATCCAAGTTATTCTAATTAATTTGGGATGCTCCCCAAAAGCTGACTATAATCATCAGTTCTACACTAAGCAGCACCTAGGACATGTATATAACCATACGGAGTTTAACTTTAAACCCCTAGGAATCAGTTATATTAATAAATGTGAAAAGGAACAACTTCAATAATTATGATGCTGATCTTGAAAACTAGGAAATTAGGATGGGCCCGCTGGCTCACTCTTGTAATCCCAGCACTTTGGGAGACTGAGGTGGGCAGACCACAAGGGCAGGAATTCGAGACCAGCCTGGCCAACATAGTGATATCCCCTCTCTACTAAAAATACAAAATTAGCTGGGTGTGGTGGTGCATGCCTGTAATCCCAGCTACTCGTGAGGCTGAGGCAGGAGAACCGCTTGAACCCGGGAAGCAAAGATTGCAGTGAGCTGAGATCAAGCCACTGCACTCCAGCCTGGGCAACAGAGCGAGACTCTGTCTCAAAAAAAAAAAAAAAAGAAAGAAAACTGGGAATTTAAAATAAATCAGCTCAATGCTGAAAACTATTAATAATATCCCATATATTGGAATATGTTCTATATATGTATCATTTACACTACTTTTATATCATTTATACTACATTTTACTGGAAGTGAAATTACAGATATATAAAACAAATCACTACAGTAGAAACTAACTAAAAATGTGGATGACATCCCTTTAAATGGTCATTAGAAAGGAAGTTCCTGGCCAGATGCAGTGGCTCATGCCTGTAATCCCAGCACTTTGGGAGGCCAAGGCGGGCAGATCACAAGGTCAGGAGATCAAGACCAGTCTGGCCAACATGGTAAAATCCCATCTCTACTAAAGATACAAAAAATTAGCTGGGCGTGGTAGCACCCATCTGTAGTCCCAGCTACTCAAGAGGCTGAAGCAGGAGACCACTTGAACGCGGGAGGCAGAGGTTGCAGTGAGCCAAGATCGAGCCACTGCCTCCAGCGTGGGTGACAGAGCGAGACTCCATGTTAAATAAACAAATAAATAAATAAATAAATAAAGTTCCCAAAGTCAGGAGGGCATATTCCAAGCTTATCTATTAGTGAAACATGCTGAACTCTCAGGGGCTGTCTGGCTCATGCAAGAAAAGAGCACACGATGTGGAGTAACGGAAACCAGTTATCATCATGGTGTCCATTTATTACAAGACCTTCCTTAACTTCTCTAAGCCTGTTTTTCAATCTACTTCATAACACTTGTGTAAGGATTAAATAAGAACCAAGTAAAATACCAGTGCATTGCCTGGCACACAGCTGATGATCAACAAATACTTAATTTCCTTCCTTTGTCTTTCTACCTTTAGTTTAGAGCAATTTTCAGGGCTTAAAAAGAAAAAAATCCATTCTTGAAATCTTACCCAATTTATTCGTATTCTGCCAAATAATAACGATAATAATGGTGATGACTACGATGATAGCCATTAACACTGATAACAGCATTTAATGTGTGCCAGAAATGCGGTTAAGTGCTGTTACATATATTAACAAATTTAGTCCTCACAACAACTGTGAGGTAGATATTTTTATTCCAATTTTACAGATGAGGAAACTGTGGCATACATAAGTCCCACAGCTAATAAGTGGCAAAGCAAGGGTACAAACCCAGGTTTCTGCTCTTCAAAAATATACCAGGCTGGGAGCACTGGCTTACGCCTGTGATCCCAGCGCTTTGGAAGGCTAAGACAGGAGGATTACTTGAGCCCAGGAGTTTGAGACCAGCCTAGGCAACATAGGGATCTACAAAAAATAATTTGCTGTGTGTTTTGGGTCTGTAGTCCCAGCTACTTAGAAGGCTAAGACAGGAAGATCACTTGAGGCTAAGACAGGAATATCACTTGAGGTCAAGGCTTCAGTGAGCCATGTGTGACTGTACCACTGCACTCTAGCCCGAGTGACAGAGTGACACTTGGTCTCAAAAATAAATAAATATTAATACCAAAAAATAACTTCTAGGTGAAGTCACAGCAGCAATGCCCTATCTTTGATAGCTCTCTAATATTAATGCAGTAAGGTAGATAATGTTCAGATGACTTACCAAACAGAATAGATCTGTTAGCTCAATAATTCATATAAATATATTATCTATTTATATTTTAAGATATAGTTATATATTTTAAAATATATTTTATGATATAGTTATATACTTTAAGATATATTTCATATCTCAAAATATTTTAATGTATATTTTATATTTTTTAAAGTTTAAAAAGTGGATCAAGAGAATAGTAACATACTTAAATCAGTAAATAAATTTAACCACGATTACATCTTTTTCAGCAAGCTCAATGACGTGGCACATTCCAAAATACAAATATTTATTAACCTATGGGGCATCTTGTCTGTAACTGCCTTCCCCTGTAAGCTCCTGGAGGACAGAAATAGCATCACCTTACTTATTGTGATAGTAAGTAATATCTTCGTTGTCTGAAAAAGCACCTTGACCTTAGTAGGTGCTTCAATAAATACTGACGAAAGAATGAAGAGGCTGGATATGAAACAGACAAAACGTTCAAGTCTGCCGATTATTTCCCTTTACCTAAAGCACTAGCACACTACACTTATTTTCCACCACTCATCCACTCCATGATTTTACTATCAGCAAGGCCTTGCTGGATTTAAGTGTTTTCCTTAACTCAGTCACATTTTTGGCCTATCCAAATCTATTTCAATCTATAAGCTCACATAGCAAAATGTCTTAAGATAAAAAGTCTCAAATATACAATTAGAAGATTCATGAATGAAAGCAAAACATATTGTTATGTCACTTTATGTTTTTCAAAGTGCTTCTACACATATCCCCTTAGTGCCTCGAGATAGCTGTGAGAGTAGGCAAGGCAGTCATAAAAATCTAGGAAGCTGCATCTAATGCTGTTTTGGAGTGGAAACATGGCCTCATCCTCATCGTTACTGCCAACGAATTAATGGCTCAAAACCTGAGTTAGATATTTTCCCTGCATTTTGGTACAAAGTCTGTGAGAATGACATATTTTTCAGTCAATGTCTTAACTGACTTTTTAAATCATAAATGATCAGCCATCTAATCAATAAAATAGGCCAAATGCCTTGGAAGATACAAGGCAGAGGAAACTCACATAACTAAATAAAGAAAAAATTTACATGCATTTACAGCTAAATAAAGAAACCTTCTTTAAAATTTTAAGGAGACCACAATCAGCAATTACAATTAAATCTCTCTTGGCTGCTAAATTA